TCATAGGGACCCCTCCTTGGGTTTCCAAGGCAGTATCACTACAGAAGTAGATTGCCCAACCTTCCTTCCGAGGAGTGGCTGGTGGGTTTGAACTGCCGGCCTTCTGGTTAGCAGTCAAGTGTCTTAGGCACTATGCTACCAGAGCTCCCCACTCCATATTAGCATCTGCATATTATATTGAAGCATTCAATTACTCAACACATATTTACTGAGAACCTATTATCTTCCAGGTTCTGAAGGTAATGCAATGAGAAAAAAAAATCAAATAAACTGACCCCAATTCTAATGGCGCTTACATTTAGCAATGAGCAGACAGACAATAAACAAAATAAATATATAGTCTGTCCCAAGGCAATACATGACATGGAGAAAAATAAAGCAAGGAGAGGAATACAGTATATTTGGAGTTAGGCACAGGTGTAAGGAAGTGGGATGGGAGCAGGAGAGGCCTCACTGAAGAGGGACACATCAGTAAGGACCTAAATAAGGTGAAGAGTTAGTCAGAAGAATGCTTAAGGGAAGAGCACCCAGATAGGAGACAGTGTAAAGGCTCCTGGGTATGTGCAGTATGTCTGAAGATCAGCAAGAAAGGTGACAGAAAACCAGATCTTAAAGGGCCTTGTAGGCCACCATGAGGACCGTGGCTTTGCCTCTGAGTGACTTAATATTAAGAAATTAAGTGACACAAGCTGGTTCTCAATTTAAAGGGAACACTCCAGCTGTTGTGAGATGGGAGGAGGTGAGGATGGGCAAAGGGAGAAACAGGAAGATAAGTTAGGAGGCTAGTGTGATATTCAGGTGAGAAATAACTGGAATAAACTAGGGTGTGAAGATGTGATATAAGGCTGAATTCTGGAAACAGTACATTTCATTGGTTCAAAAAGGTGCACATCTTTTAAATGTATCATCTCTGGAGTTGGAATGTACATTAAAATTGATGATATACCACAATTTGACATTTTTTCTTTCTTAGTGGCACATAATACACATCTTTAGAACTGGTGGCCTCTTAGATTTGATGAAAGATGGTAGCTGGAACATAGAGATGACAGAGCTTGCTATTAGGGATGTGAAAGTGAGAGAAGTCAAGGATGAACCAGGTGTTTTGGCTTGAGTAACTAGACAAGAGTTGTCATTTCCTGAAATTGGAAAGACTGTGAGAACAGTAGCTTAGAAGGTTGGGGATAAAGAGTTCAGTTTGGCAGTATTAAGTTACAATGTTCAAGAGTCATCCAAGTGGAGGTACTGAGTTAGCATTACCCAAAACAACCAAGAAGGCAGAAAATGAACATCTAGTGAATGGAGGAGAAACCAAAAGAGTGTGGTGTCCTGGAAGCCAAGTGAAGAAACTGTTTCAAAGAGAAACTGATTGGGCCACTTAACAACCAACTATTGGTCTCTTCCCATCCAGAGCAAAGGAGAGTGAAGAAAACCAAAGACTCCAGGAAGAAATCAGTCCACAGGACTACAGGCCCATGAGAGCCACAGCCTCTTTTAGCCTGAGACCAGAAGAACTACCACTACCAGCCATTCTGATCACAATAGAAGGTCCTAGTTAGAATGGAGGAAAAACACAGATCAAAACTCAAACTTACAAAAATTGCCAGACTTACTAGAATGATAGAGATTAGAGGAACCCCTGAGACTATTGCCCTATGAGACAGCCTTTTAACTTGAAACTGAAGCTACTCCCAGAGGTTATCTCTCAGCCAAATAACAGATTGGCCTGTAAAATAAACAGTATCACCCAGGAGGAATGTTCTCCTAAGATCAACCAACCATATGAGACCAAATGAAAACATTGGCCAAAAAGCAAAGATGAGAAAGCAAAGAGGGACAGGGAAACCAGAGGAATGGAAATGAGCAAGCCAAGGTGGAAATGGGAGGAGTGCTGACATATTTCATGGACAGCAACTAATGTCAAGGAACAATCTGTATATGAATTGTTGAATGAGAAACTAATTTGCTGTGTAAATTTTCACCTAAAGCACAATAAAATGTTATTAAAAAAGAGAGAAAGAGAGAAATTAATCAACTATGTGAAAGGCTGCTATGTGACCTATATGAAAGATGTCATGCAGGATGAAGATTCAGAACTAACCACACTGGCTGTAGTAATACAAAGTTCATTAGCATCGTTCCTAAGAGCCTTCGGGGTAGTGTTGTGGGGAGAAGCCTGACTGTGGAAGTTCAAGCGAGAATGGAAGGGGAAAACTGAACCAACAGATGATCTGAGAAGAGACACTGTGGAAAACTGTTCCACAACTGGAAGGTATGAGAAGAATCTGCAAGCAATACAAAGAAAGTAAACAGATGAAAAAACAAAGAAAGGACGCATAATCATAGTACACTGTAATTATCAGCTGCATACATTTACATAGAAATAATAACGTAAAGACTGAATACTGACCTTAAAACAATAATACCAATCTTTCCTAAAGAGTTATTGAGAGAAGAAAATGAGAAGACACAATCCTGGTACATACTAAGCATCCAATCCTGTATTGTCTATGTGCGCCCAAGGATGGATTTTATTGATGGCCTTATTCAGCAAGCAGAAACACAAAACCAATGTCTAGATTTCTGGTAATAACAAGCAGACAGGCTTTTACCTTTTAAGAAATTTTGTTTTGTTTTTTTCGGAGGATGGAAGAAATAGCATCTTTATTTACTGAAATGATTATGATAGTATATGATATAATAATAATCTAGTAAAGACAGAAAAATTGGTCATGTAGAAAAGAGGCCACAAAATCAATTCAGAGAAACATATTTACTCAGATACTATATAATAACATGTACCCACTTTTCATTCAAATAAATGATTGTTCTTTTCCAGTGTAAGATAGTGGCTACTGACTGGCAATTTTAAAAAAATGGTACTTAGCGGAATATTTTTCAATGGCACTTTACATAAATTAGAATATGTAAGAGAGAAAATAGGGAAGCAAAGACTAAAAGAGCTCTTGCCACTTTTCCTCGGCTGAGGCACAATTCCAAGGCAAAGCTCAGAACAGAGGGCAGAGAGAGCAAAGGAAGGGAAAAAAGCCTGCCTCCCACTGACCCCCTTCTCCTCCTCCTCCTCCTCCTCCTCCTCCCCCTCCCACCCAGCAGCAATCTTGAAGACCCTGAATGACTCCAAGAATAGTCATCTAACAACCAAGTTAAATTTGAGATGATTAACCCAGTATCTTGATGGAAAACATTTATGAAATTGCCATCTGGTAGATAGTAAAAAAACAAAACAAAATTCTTACTTTTCTGAAAAATGGGACCTAAAGCATAAAGCATAGCACTAAAATGTCCATAATCTCCAACTACAGAGCATCTGTGCCAGACCAGAAGGAGTTCTGGTGGTGTAGTGCCTAAGGCATTTGACTACTAACGAGAAGGCTGCTGGTTCAAACCCACCAGTCATTCCACGGAAAGAAGACTAGGCAATCTACTTCCATAAAGATTTACTGCCTCGGAAATCCAATGGGGGTCATAATGAGTCAGAATCAACTCGATGCCAGTGTGTTTGGCAGGATTACCTGATCATATAGCCAATGCGTTTCACAAACTGCCTATAGCGTGCTCTATTAAAGGTTTCTAACCCCACAGCCAGAAGTTCCACTAATGAGTTGGCAAAGGCAAAAATTTTCATCATCTCTTGAGGTCTTGTTGTTTCAGGTAAATAATCACCTAGAAGTTAATAAAAGAAAAGGAAATAAGTATAATTACTATGGAAAAATACTGAAGGACACAGGTGTAAATACTTCAGTGAGGATGCAAAGCCAAAACATGTAAGAATTAACAATCCCTGTTACTCCTAAAGAGAACCTCTGGTGGCACAATGGTTAAGGTATTCAGCTGCTAACAATAGGCCGGCAGTTCTAAACCCACCAGCCACTCCCTGAGAGAAAGATGAAGCAGTCTGCTCCTATAAAGATTTACAGCCTTGGGAACCCTTGGTGCCGTTGTACCTAGTCCTTTACGGTAGCTATGAGTCACAATCAAGTCAATAGCAGTGGGTTTGGTTACTCCTATATCCACATGAAATGTGCAACTTGAGACAAAGTACAAAATTAAAACAATTTATTAAACTTGGGTAATGTGCAAGCTAGTTAACCTTCTCAAATTTAAGCACTAAGTGGGAAATTACAACCACATAACCACAAGAGAAAGGAAGGAAATCTTATCAAGGTGATGCAAGTGTCTCTCTGTAGTAGAGCTGGGCAAAGGGGAACATGAATCAGGAAGTAGCATTTGATGCTAGTTCTTGTGTCTGAGCTTGCCACTACCACATTATTTATATGACAAAAAAAAATTCATCTACCTTTTGCCTTAAACCCAAGAAGATGTTGAAAGAGTTCATGAAACGGAAACTGTGATAAAAGGATAACCAAATCATCTTCATTAAGGAGAATCCAACTAGTCTCAGGATCTTCGTCCTAAGGGAACAGATGCAAAAGCATGTCAGCGCGCACCATGGTCTAAGTCACAGGCATAAACTGTCTCAACTGTACACTTGCAGGGTTTGTGGACTTTTCCTCCAGGACGGAGATTCACAGACTCAGTTCCACAGTGGGCTGTAAATCCCCTGAAAATGCAAGCACAATTTTAGTGTCTGGAACATGTCCATTCTTCAGTGGCTGAATCCGTTCTCATTAAATTTCTACCCCAAAGGTAATCAAAAACATTCCTCTAGAGTAGGGATCTTACTATAAAACTCATGGCTTTGACAATAACAATTAAAGAACCAAAACACTAGAGACCAAGTCATTTTTGTCACCATTCTCTTCTCCCCAAATTGAGACCCAACAGAATAAGCAGGAAGCAATTTAGCATCAACCATGGATGACTGAAGTTCTGGGGTCAATTAGTGCTGCTGAAAGCAGGATAAAAATAACAGTGGTCATACATAGGGATTATATAAGGGAAATCCTTGGGTTCTTTTTAAGATTAAGTCCTTAAATATGCTACATTCAAAAGGGAATGCTGTAAAAAGATTCAGAGAGTGTAAGACTGTATCATCTAAATTTCAACAAGGGACTAATGCAATTTATATAATTTCTTTAAGTCATCTCATTTTTATCCTCCTATGGGTCTATGAAGGAGCTCTGGTAGCATAGTGGCTAAGGCACTTGACTGCTAACCAGAAGGCTGGTGGTTCAAACCCACCAGCCACTCCTCGGAAAGAAGGTTGGGCAATCTTACTTCCGTAATGATTGTTGTTGTTGTTGTTGTTGTTAAGTGCGTCGAGTTGTTTCCGACTCATAGCGTCCATAGTGATACTGCCTCGGAAACCCAAGGAGGGGTCACTATAAGTCGGGGCCGACTCGACGGCAAATAACAACAACAACAACATGGGTCTATGAGAGCTCTGATGGCAGCGGTCAAAAGCATTCAGATGCTAACCAAAAAGGTTGGTGGGTCAGACCTACCAGCCGCTCTACAGGAAAAAGATGAGGCAGTCTGCTTCCATAGATTTACAGCTTTGGAAACCCTATGGGGGCAGTTCTAATCTGTCCTCTAGGGTCGCTATTAGTCAGAATCAACTCAACTGCAGTTGGTTCGGTTTTTTGTTTTAATGGGTCTAACGTGGCAAATAAGAACCTCAGAAACTCTACTTGGAGTAGCAGTTCTTAACTCTGGCAGCACCTCAGAATCCCCAGAGAGACTTTTCAACATTTGGGTGTCTGCAAGTGGGCCTGTGCAAGGTGTCTAAGTTGCCCAGGTGATTCTAATATTCAGATGTGTTGAGAAACCACAGGTGTGGAAGATTGAGTGCCTTTCTCCCCACAGCCTTTTCTGACTCAACAGCACACCCTATTTTCACATCTACTCCTCAGATTCTTGAACTCACTCAACATTCAGTGAGTGTTAACCAGGAGTCAGACACCAGGCAGGGACCTTACTCATTTTTCCTCTAGGATTAAATATAGTAAACCAATCAGAAACAAAAGGAGAGACCACAGCAGGGAGTCGACGGGAACACTCCCCCATCACAATCTTTAAAAGGCTAATTTGAGATGCTCTCTTCAGGCTCCAGCAAAGATGTTCACACATCCGCAGCCTTTACCACCACCTCACAACCTCCCACAAGCCCCAGGAGGAGCAGACTGAGTGTGCAATGGCCCCATCACTGAACGAGCATGGGGTGAATACAGACATGATCCCCCAGCTGTGACAGCTATTGTTCTGAGGACTATCTGCTATGCATGATCATCTCTTTTTAGAGAAAGGTAGTGTTAGTAAGGGAGCTCTGGTGGAACAGTGCCTAAGGCATCTGACTGCTAACCAGAAGGCTGGTGGTTCAAATCCACCAGCCACTCCTCAGAAGGAAGATTTGGCAATCTACTTCCATAGAGACCACCTTGGAAACCCAAGGAGGGATCACTATGAGTTGTGTGGTATAGTAAATTACTTTGTGTGGCTTTTCTACCCATAAGTCTTTGTAAACTCCAAGGTGGGATTTGCTATGAGCAACTGAGGAGCTCCTGATTGCTGAAGGTGTCCACCTGGAGTATTTCTGTTGGGAGTGGCACAAAACAATATTCTGGGAGGTGCCCACTCTCTCTCAGGTGCTTAGAGTTCTGATGCTATAATTGGCTAGTTTGACCATCCTGCTGGGCTCAAAAGGAGGCCTCTTAGAGGCAGAACTCTCTCTCTGACTGCTGGTTGAGGAAGATGTGCTGCTGAAAGAGACACACGCCCCTGAAAGAGACACGTGTTGCTGGGAAAGAGACACAAGAGACACACATTACTGAGTGAGACATGGAGGGTCCAGCACTGCTGGGAAAGAGACTGTGAGAGACTGTTGGCTGAGGGACGGTGGGCTGGGAGAGAGACTGAGCATTTTTTCCTGAACCTGAATTGTAGCCTGTGGTGCTTCCCTAATAAACCCCATAATCTGTGAGCTCTGTGTGGCCACTGCAGTGAATTACTGAACCCAGGAGAGAGGTGGCGGGTGCTTTGGGAGGAACGGTTAGTGAAAGGGCTGGAGGGAGGCAGCATGTCTGGCCTTGCAGTAATAGGCCTTGGGTTACTGCTGGTAATCCTGTCTTCCTCTCATGAGATTAGAGGAGGTCAGAACATGTGGCCTCCTTGCCGTTTTTGCAAGTTGGAATTGACTCAATGGCAGTGAGTTTGTTTTTTGTTTTTTTTTTTTCTTGTTTTTTTAGTGTTAGTAAACCTTGTCCCTAGGTTGGATAGAGGCTGGTGAAACCCCTGAGACCACATCCCTGGGCTATCCTTCAGGCCTGGAACTGGACTCACTTCTACGGATTAGCTTTCAGCCAAAGAGTAGAAAGGCTTATGAGCAGAACACCTACCAAAGGGGATACACACCTTGATCAATTGAGCTTGAGAGATCAAAAGGGCAGTATTTGCACAGGGGAAAAGCTGGACAGACTGGAATGCATAGATAAGAAGGACAGAGAGAAGGGGTAATCACAGAGAAGGGGACAGGAGGACAGCTGTTTATTGTTGGGATTACAATGAAACAAAATGTATATTAACTGTAGAAAGTAAAATAAATCTGCTTTGTAAATTTGCATTCAAACAATGACATAAATTAAAAAAAGAAAAATAATCCCTGTCCCTAACTGTTGGGACAAGCACATCAAATAAAGATTTATAACACCAAACTGTGGTAGTTAAGGTTATGTATCAACTTGCCTGGGCCTGGTTCTGAGTGGCTGGGGAGCTGGATGTAGTTATTCCCACGATGAGATCGGTAATCAACTTCATGGTGGAACCTACTGGAGCAGCTGAGTAGCTGCCTTAGGGACGCAGTGCTTCCAGTACATGAGAAGAAGCATCCAGTACATGAGAAGAAGCACTGAGAAAGGTGTCTGCAGCTTTTTGGAATGACTGGACCATGTACACAGCTGAGTGTTCACTCAACAGCCTGCCATGTTGTCTGCCAATCTTAGGATTGTTCTGGACTTGAACCACTCACTTGCCTTGCTGTTTGATAATTTGGGCACTGTGCCATTTTATTTGTCAACCTTGGGCTTGTCAGCCTCAGCAGCTAGCAGCTGCCTGAGTGAAGAGACCCCTCCTGCTCCAGTGAGCCAAGAGGAAGGGGTAGAGCTGAAGCCCAAGGTCAAGGGGCTTTCACCCAGCCCCTAGAGCTGGAACTTTCAGCTCGTACTTCTACCCTCCTAAACTGTAAGAGAATAAATTCCTGTTTGTGAAAGCCACTCACTTGTGGTGTTTTTCTGTTAGAGCAGCCCTGGAGAATGGAAACACCAACCTACTGCCATTGAGTTGATTCTGACTCATAGCGACCCAACAGGACAGAGGAGAACCACCACTGAGGGTTTCCGAAGCTATAAATCCTGTGGAAACAGACTGCCTCCTCTTTCTCCCACAGAGCAGCTGGTGGGTTCAAAGCATCAAACTTTTCATTAGCAGCCAAATGTTGTAACCACTATACCACCAGAGCTCCTTAAATTTAGACCATAAAACAACACTAGACCTGATAATTAGCTGGAGGAAAAATGTGTTACAAATACATTAATCATGTGTACAACAGAAAGAAAAGTTCATGAATGATACCTCAAGGGATTTTGATCACTAAATTCTCATCAAACAGACAGCCATCTTCCACCTTCCAAATAAGAAAGATCTAGATAAGAAGTTTATTAAGAGTTAAAAGTAGAATCTTGGAAACCCCAGGTCTTCCTTATGCACTCAGATTATTTTTAGGCAAGCTCCCAACTCCAGATGCTTGTTAGTACATAAAAGAAAATTCTAACATAAAGTGTATATAATTTGGCTGCATTTAGTTTCCACATTCCAAATCCTCCCAGCTCAGTAGAAGGGTCTTCTTCAAGGAGGTGACAGTACGGCACAGAGGGCTCTGGTGGCTCCTCCAGTTAATGACCATTCGATTAAATGACAACTGACTGCACTCCCTCAAACCTGTTTCTTCTTCTGTAAGATGGGGATTACAACAGAACTTAACTCATGGGACTGCTCTGAAGGTTAAATGAGATTAGTATGTGCAAAGTGCTTAGAGGGATACCCGGCACGTAAGAAGAGCACAAAATGTGTAAAAAGAATGGAGATACCATGAGTTACCTCTTCTCCTCCCTCATCTACCAGGGTCCAGGTCCCTGACGCCGGCCCCGAGGAGGATGGTTTCCGCTCACTGGGCTTCATGTGGCACATGAACTCTGCTCGATTTCTAAAGGACAAGGGAAATGACTCCAATCACAAAACACAGAAAGCCACACAGGAGGGCATTCCGGATCTTCTTCTCACCTGAAGCAGAACCAGCAATGACCCAAGCTTCATATGATTTACGTTAAAAAAAAAAAAAAAAAGAAGAACTGGTTAAAAAATCAAGAGACAAAAGGCTAATTCTGGTGAAGAGCTCATGATCATTCTGAATTAGTAACGTCTAGAAACTGCAAAAAAGGCTGGGCCACTAGCACTGCTCCTGGCACTCAGTGGCACCTCAGTACAGATGGCTGCCACAGGTCCCTACCTCTACAGCCTTACCAAGTGTCGCTGGGTAGACAACTTCAGAAAACATGATTTACTGAATTTGAAAGAAAGGTGATCTGCAAATACTGCAGAGACTGTTTAGAGCAAAAAAGTGCCTCTAAACTTCTGGGTCAAATCACATCTACCCAGTGAGAGAGGGAGCTGGGATAATTCCTGCTGGCAAGGTTTTCACCAGGTGTTGGTTAGATCTGATGAGTGAGTATAACCAGAAGTTTCTTAAGACCACAACCCAGTTCTCTGTCCTCTTCCTTCCTCTTTCCTGACCCTGAAAACTCATCCAGTCCTTCCTTTAATGAAGGACTTTCTTTCAAGGCTTCCAGCTCCACAGTTCTAGTGCTGTTCTTCCAACGAGCTCCAATCTAGAAGCTCCAGATGTCCACTGGTATGTGTTGCTTATCTGTGTTTACTTGTACGCATCAATGACCTCAAGTTTTTCTCCCTACAAAACAGCTCTCCTTTCTCATTATTCTGTCTGTCAGGGCTGCTAACACCCTCTCAGCCGTTCAGAAGTCGAGAGTTAGGTCTGACCCATCCCTTTCCAGCATTCTCTTTATTTAGTTAGCTACCTATTGTAGTGGGATAAGTTTTCACCAAAGCCTTCTGCAACAAAAGAGATTTTTTTTATTGTGATATATCAGGAAAAACAAAAGCAATTAATGGGAAATTGGGTGCAAGCACTATGGCTATAAACAGGCCCAAATTCAAAGAAGTAGAATTAACAGATATTTTTCATACAATTTTGGCAAGTTCTGACTCATTGTGATTAAGGGTCTTTCAATGTGCCCTTTACAATCACTGGAGCATGAACCTATGATTAAATTACTTACATGCCATGACTGGTTAAAGTAAAAACAATTAAAATTATGACTGGGTAACTTTTTTTCTCTAAACTATGGTCTCTTGGCTCAGGGGTCTTGGGTCTGTCATACAGTGATTGCCTGGAAGCCTTTAGTTTTGCTTATGAGTGATGTTAGGTAAATCTTTAACTCCCTTCCTGGTATACTGTTACTCAGTTTTCATACACAAATCTACCCTCCATTGTCTGCCATCCACTGGACCGTTTAGAGCATTCTGTTCTGTGCTCTGAGCATTCTGTTTGTTGTATGAAAGGACTGTAAGTCTTAACAATTTGGCCACTGCTTATGGCCTGCTGTGCTTTGATTAACCCTTCATTAGGTTGCCCTCATTCTCTTCCCCATTACCATTACCTCGGTTCAGGTTCTTGGAAGAGACAGGCTTTCCAGGACCCTAAAGTCAGAGGCACTGACTCTGTTCAGAGTGACCAGGCACAGACCCTTCCTTACTCTTCCAGTTAAGGGTGTGCCCTCTTGATGCTGGATTGGGTTCCAGAGCCAGGAGAGTCAGATGTCTGTGATCACTCAATTAAAGAGAAGCACTTATTCTTCCACAAAAAGTGTTATAAATCCTGAGCAAGAGAAACGTGTGGCATAGCAAGAATTCAGCTGACAGTCACCAAGTAGGGCACCCACAGAGGACTCTAGGTCAAGGGATGAGCCTTGCTAAGACATAATGCATGTACCGTATTTTATCATATATAATGAGCCCATGTAAATAATGTACACGTGCATATAACGCATATAGTAAGCATAGGGCACTAACATGAGGGAGTTGTACAGTTTGCAAAAACCATATAACGCACACGTTATTTGTGTGAAAATACTGTGCTCCTGTAATAGGCAGCCGCTTGATTTCTAGAAAGATGACCATCTGTGGCTGTGAAATAAACCAAGAATTAATGGTTCGTGCTGGGTTGCTCTACCTGAAAATTGATAATCTACCTGAAATACTGGAGATACCGTAACTGCTTGACCTCCCTCATGTCAGCATCTTCCCTCTCCAGTACATCCTAATCATCCTTAAATGTAAGTTTTACCCTTGTTCAGAAACAATGGCTACAAAGGGTGGACCATATCAAACCTAGACCACTCTGCCTTAAGCTCCAAATCTTCTTTTCAACTCACTCTAGTTATTCATCTTCATTACTGTCCCCCACATACCCCTTAACTCCAGCCAATCTGATCCCCTCCCTGTCCCCTTCATGGCTATCCTCTCCTGAACTCCGGTTCTCTGCTAATATAATGCCCTTCCTAATCCTCCTCTTCTGCTGAACAGGACAGATCAATCCTTCTTCAAATCCCCAGCTCAACCACCACGGAACCCACGCTGACAATGCCATGCAACTCTTTATTCTCTTCATCTCTACTGCATCAGCTGTAGCTTCCCAAGTTAGCATGTAAATGTCTCTGACTGTTTTTTCCCCAGCCACTAAATTTCTTCTTCTAAGGAATAGATCATATTGTTGTCTCCCCGTTGCACCTTTCACAACAGCACATATGATAGGAGAGGAAGTCTGGTAATACAAACACACTCAGAGGGGAATCCAAGAAAGGTTAATCAATTGTACAATAAAAATAAAAAGCTATTAAAAGGGTCACTTTGGGAAGAGGGATATCAAGACCAAAAAAAGTCTCAAGTTAAAATCTGGAATGTTGATGCGTCCCTTAGCAGCTCTTTGGATCTGGGCAGCTTAGGAAGTCAACAGGAAGAAGCATTCTAATTTCCACTGCACAGAGCTCTTCCACACTTACTTGACAGGAGACATGAGCAGGGCAAGGGACTGCATGAAGTGAAAGACCCCTGACGGGTTATTCAGCACTTTGATCTGAAATGAGAAAAGGAAAAAGTGTACTGTAGAAGACCATTAACCCAAGTGTCCACAATCCTAGTTCACCAGCACTACGATGAAAGGAGCTGGAAAGGCAGCAAAGATGGAGCTGGCACCTAACGCACAGGGGTAACCTGGCAGCACTGACTCAGCTGTAGCCAGAGAGTAGAAGAAACTGATCAGTCTGCATCAATGACCTATAACAATATGGGACAATACAGGACAATCCTGCTAATTTAATCCAAAGAGAAAACAATGACAAAAAATCCTCCATCTGAAAAGATTCAAACTTTCGCCAGCAGAAATTTTAAAAGGGAAGAAAAGGAACTATGGAGAGATTGAACTTGATATACTTCTTGCCTCCTATACATCTGAGTGGCTGTTGTGAGCAAATGAGCCAAAGGCAAGCAGCAGAGAGGAAAAACCATAAGCCGTACAGTCAACGCCTAGATGTGTAGGCGCTGATCACACAGACCGACAGTTCTGCTGGTACTTAGAGAACTTGGAGCTGCTGGTCGTCTCTGTTTTACTTGTACCAACTGTGGCATGTGATGGATTAAGAAGCAGTGTTGAGTACTACAGAAAAAACCCTGCGAGCCTCCTTGCACAGAAATTTTACAGAATTAAATACGACCAAACCTGCCAAGCCAGGCTACAACTGAACTTCTATAATTCTACCATAACTTCATCAGTTGTAGGTGGCTCAAGAACTTGCAGCATAAAAACTCTTATGAATATGTACTAGATGTGTTTTATGACTTTTATTTTAAATATCTGTACTTTTAAAATAGTTTTTTTGTTGTTGTTGATAATTTCTTCAGGAAAAATATCTACTAATACTCCCCCCAACCTCCTCAGAAACAGGGCACTCGTCGTACCTGGATGAAAGGAACAGCCCATTTACTAACACCAGCGGGGCATCGAAGAATGTGGTTCAGAAGGAAGAGGTGATCTCCAGGACAGCCAACTCTCTGTAACACTGACACCTGAACAAAAAAGGACATAGTTTCACTATTTAAAAAGAAGACAAATGTATCTAGGGGGTCTAGTAAAGTCACTTACCCAGTGTTTAAACACTTATCATCATTCAAAAGAGTAACCAGACGTAAGATATATTATGGAATGGTTGCCTTTCTATCGCAGAGAAGCAGTATGGCTTATGAATCTAGGAGCATGATGGTAAAAATTCCGTAAGTTATCTCTCCATAAATAGAGTTTTTACTTTCTGGCAAGTCAATGGCCACATGTGAACAGACATATGACAAACACAGTTTAATCTGTTCTCACTTTTCAATAGCTTCTCAAATCCAAGTAAGTGTGTTCAGAGTACACCCCATATTTAAGAACTCTAGTATGAACCTAAAAAACCACAAAAGGCAGCCTCACTGAGAAACATAACCACTAAACAAATATCCACCTCCTCTGTAGCACACTTAACATCTTTCCTAAACTTCTTTCTTTAAAAACATCTTTGCCCCCTTAAAAAACAAAAAAGGATGACTTAAATGTAACATTAAGCATAACCAAACCAAAAAACAAACTTCACTGCCATCAAGTCAATTCCAACTCATAACAACCGCCTTTGGGTTTCTGAGGTGGTAAATCTTTATAGAAGTAGACTGCCTGGTCTTCCATGGAGTGGCTGGTAGAATAGGTTTGAACCACCAACCTTCTGGTTAGCAGTCAAAAAGGCTTAGGCACTATGCCATCAGAACTCCTTAACATTAAGCATAAGATGATACAAAGAAATATACTATACAAGGAAATTTGTTAGATTGAACACCTATATTCTGAACACACAGCTGGTTTTAAATTTGGTATTTGTTCCACATTTCCATTTCTCCCTAAAGCTGGGGCTCACTGTTACATAATGTTTATTAGAGAGAAAAGCACTTTGTCCTCAATAATGCATGAGATAAACACAATTTGTTACCATGTGTCAAGATCAAATAATTGCCACTAATTAACTCATTACATGAATTAGCTACAAAAGCTGCTGAAGAAAATCTATGATAAAGATAAGAGACTGTTCCTAATTCTCTTAAATTATCAGGGAAATGAAAGAAGATGACGTCTATTTCTGTTCCCTTACCAATTTCTGCAGCCAGAGAAGAATGTCATCATGGAATTGTGCATCTTCATGAACTCTCCTGGTGAACATGAATAAGACACTAATGCACTCCTTTAGCTGACACAGGTCAGAGGAAACACTTTCTGACTGTTTAGACACTATAATTAAAAAGAGGATCAAATGAGTCTCACATCACAGGGTTTTTTTGGGAGAATTTTTAGAGTTTTCATTTAAAATAAAGAACCCAAAAAAGAAAAAAACCCTTTAGACTATTTAGTTAAGATAAAAACCCAAGGAAGTAAGTTGTATCAAAATATTATTAGAATTTCTACTAAATATTAGACCAAAAAGGTATTTAAGTCTGTGAAATTCAAAGTAAGGGAAAATTAACTTCATCAAAATTCATTATATGTTCTTCTTAAAACCAAACAATAGTTTAGCTAATTAGCAAAGAATGTCTACCTTCGATTGAGGAAGAGCAAGACAGAGGTACGTGTTAGGTAGACAACAAGGGTGAACAGTTCCAGTACAGCTGCATTCTCAGTGATGGCAAGCACTGACCTACGGGTGGGCAGATGGGTGGACAGGCTGAATGATCAGGTATGCCAAGGCAGAGGGAGTGTGGCACACTATGTTTCTACAAGCATATTTGTATGTGCTATAAGAATTTCCAGGTGTATAACAGAGCTGACAAGGGACAAGGTTGTAGTGACTTCTTGGACACAGCCAGCTACCCTAAGGAAGCAACTAGTTGGACCTGTGGGCTCAGGACCATGGTCACACGGGACAATTGATATAACATACTACAAAAACATTGTTCAACATCCTACTTTGGTGAACAGCGACAGGGGTCTTAATTGCTTGCAAATGGACATCTAGATGCAATGAAGGGTCTCTCCTTGTCCAGAGCAAAGAATGAAAAAAACCAAAGATGCACAGCAACAATTAGTCCAAGGAACTGGCAGACCATGTGCTCTTCAGCCTATATAATGACCATGTGATCAGAAGAACCAGATGGTGCCTGGCTACCACTGTCAACCACCTGGAGGGGAATCAGTGCAGGAGATCCTAGATAAAGTGGGAGAATAATGGAGAAAAAAACTCAAAAGCAAGAAAAAAGACTAGGTTTGCTGGTCTGATAGAGCCTGGTGAGACCCTCAGACTATAGCCCCTAGTTACCCTTCACATCTGGAACTGAACTCATTCCTGTGGCTTCCAGCCAAACAGTAGATAGGCATATTGGGTGAACATTTACATCAGGTAGATATACTCCTTGGAGAACTCAATCATGGGAGAACAGAAGAGCAGCTTTTGCACAGGGAGATAGCTTGGTGGGGGTGGGAGGCTGCATGGGAAGGAAGGACCCAGGGAAGAGTTAACTACAGGGAGAAAGCGGGAAGAGAGCTGTTACATTGTGGGGAATTGCAGTCAATGTTGAGACAAAATGTATATGAACTGCTGTATGGAAAGTGAATTTGCTCTGTAAACTTTTACCCACACCACAATAAAAATAAAAGAAAACAAACACACAAACAAAGAATGTCTGCCTTGGGCACTGTGCTCTTTTAAGAACTATCTATATGGAATCAAGTTGACAACAGCAACTGGAAAGATTAGATAGAAGGGGCAGTGAGTTTATGTTACTGGAGAAGAAACAACTCAGAAAAGAAGGGTGAGAATGACTGCACAACTTGAAGACTATAATTAATGTCAAGGAACTGTAGAAATTGCTAAAACTGTGTATGTTCTGCTACGTGTATTCTCAACAACAAAATAAATATGTTTTTTAAAAATTTATTGTATGTTATTTGAAGACTGGCAGAGTTTTGGCTTATCCCAGGTCTTTGATTAGGTAAGAAAACCTGGGGAGGAGGCAGGAGAAAAGATATTTCTAACTTTTAAAAACACCTCTTCCGGAGAAGAAAATTCTGTAATTCGATAGATATCGTTAATATTTAGCACATAATGCAGTAAAAGCTAATTTCCTAAAACCCTAAAAAATATGAAAAACTCAGAATATTATAGATCTTCTATTGAAAATTAAGTAAAATAGTCCAACAAACTGGACAAGCAAAAATAAAATTACAAAAGGCAGAGGATAAAAAGGTATTCTATTAGCTTTAGGATCAAAAAATACAGACTCTACTAGGCACATAAACCAGGGCATCAAGGGGCATCAAAGATAAAGCTTTCTGTATCCTAAAGAAGTAGGGAATAACAGCCCATGGGGAAGGAGATCTAGCACTGCCCCCAAGAAATCACATTAGGGCAGATCCCAATCCTACATTGGAAAAAGGCAAGAAAAAATAGCAAAGACAAACGATACACCGTGCATCAATCAGTGTACAGTCGGCTTAACCAGATTATACTACTGTCTTCTTTTCTCATTTCAGATCACAATAAAGAGCAAGACATGACCTTCATTACTTACACACCTTGACCTTGCTCATGAATTGCTAAAGATCTCAGAACAGCCGAAGTATTGAGCAGTGCATAGATGTAAGACTCCACTTGCAACCTCGAGAGCACAGATGTGTAAGAGTGCAGAGCCAGGGTCTGGTGGAGGTGCTCAGATTTGGCATCAAATAGCTTCTTTAGCTCCCCCAGTGCGTCTCCACTCATCTCTACTCTTTGGTAGCGATGATAGCCTGAGACTTTCACTTGATCTGCACAGATACCCTAGTGGTGGAGAAGAGAGTAAAATATAAAACCAGTTAGTCCCTGCACTTAATCAGACAGCAGGGTTAGAACATCTAAGATGCATAAATTTCAGTTCCATCCTCAAACAGCTTATAATCTTAATGAGGAGACAATACTACCATGCAGTGAATAATACAAGCAAATATATTACCAGGTGCCAAGGAGTAGAATGCAGCACAGATTTGGATAAGCAAAGAGTAATCCTATGAAGCAGGTGGAGAAAGGTGCAAGAAAATGATAGCACCTGTCCCAAGGACTCTCCTGACTGATGATTTACCTTTCTGCTATATTAACACTGAGGTCAATGTGCTCTCCTCAACTTGAAGGCACCTCAACATCTCTCAGCACGTACTCTCATTATTTTCTGTGGTTCTGCTCAAATGGAGGATACCCCTTCCTCTCCAGTACTAACTCCTGCAATGGCATTCTTGATTCTATCTTCTTTTTGCCAATATTTCAAAATATTTCCATCAACTTACGTCTACAAAGAGAGATACACAGGTCTCCCATGGAGCGAGGGCTGGGGCTGAAGGAAATCTCATGTTTCTCCCTGATATCTCCTCTAGCTTCCCTTCACTGACCAACTTGTCAAAACTGGCCACCTCTTCCATGCCACCCCTCCCAGCTCATTATGAAATTGTGTTCTTGATGGTCAGCCCGGCTTCCATTGGGTCACATTGTCTTCCCTGTTTTCTCATCTCCTCTCTATCTTGTTCCATGGATCATCGTCTCCTTGACATTCTCTACACCAAATGTTCATGGCATTATGCTCAAGCTCACAAGCTATGGCCTATGGCTAAACTTGGTCTAGAGACATGATTTTCTTGGTCTACAGTGTCTGAGTGAGTGTGAGAGTGTGTGTGTGTGTGTGTGTGTGTATTTCATTACTTGCCAACATTTACAAATAAAGATCCCTCACGTAAAACCCAGATTTCTAGCTTCTCTTAAAAAAATCACAAGATGTGGCAATGCTAGATCAAGAAAACAATCTGCCCTTCTAGACGGGGCATGAGTTTTCTCAATCACCACTGTCCCACTCAGCCTGCTTCACTCCTTCAGTTCCCTGCGTGGCCCCTGCAGGCACCTTATTTTGTGACCTCTGTGTGGTTCTACTTGTGACTAAGACAGGCTCAGTGTGGGGAGGAGGAGGCAGCTCCAGACCTAGACATCTCCACACAGGAACAGCAGCTCCACTCCAAATACCCCGGGTTCCTGCAAGCTCCACAGAACACTAGAGAAAAATACCTGTACAGACATTTGCTCCTCCTTGAAGTGCCACAGTCGACTTTTAGCATTTTGGCAATCAGATGTCAGGGTAAGGAGCTCAGCTTCAGCCAGCAGCAGCTGCTTCCTACATCGTGAGTAATTCAAAAGCAACTCATAAAATTCATGCCTATCCTGATGAGCCATGCTGTCAAATTCTTCTAAGTATGACTCAACATTTTCCAGCCATGAGCCAGGCTCAAAGATTTTTAGTTGTTCTTTAGTAAATGGTACTAGCTCTGGCTCAGATGGGAGTTCTGGGTAGAGTCGTTCATTACGAAATAAGGGTTTCACGGCCACCAAAGCTGGTTCTTCTCCAGTCATTTCAGCTGGTAACTGGGGATACAATTTTTTCACTTTAGGAGGCTGAAAAACATCCATGGCTTCACAAGAACTCTGCAAGCCAACATTGTGCAGCACCTCTGAAGAAAGACCCAGCGCTGGTTTGTCTTCTGCCCTACTCTGAGTTTCTCTGACCTGTACTTCTCCCACTTTCTGCTGAATATGAGAAAAACCAGACTGCAGTGTGCTTTCTGAAGGTCCACAGTGGACCAATTTATGTTCCTCTATTTCTGTAAAGTTTCTGGAGGTCTCCACTTTCCTTCCAACACTGTCCCCAGGGTCGAACTTCGGCCTGATTTCTTCATCCTCAGCACAGGCTCTGACCTCTCCCACTGCCTTCTGGGTTTCAATGTTACATGTCAGGGACCCGTCACTGCTTATAGTTAAGGAGGTGAGTGGTACATCAAACATTTCACTCTCACTTTGTTCATTGGCATCATTCTTTGGCTGGGAGTCAGTTAACACCTTCAGCTGGTCTCCTCTGATTTCACAAACTGGAGAAGGGATTTCCCACTCTCTGGAAGTTTTTGGAAGGGAGACTTCATCAGACTCTTCCCTCTGAAGGGTTTCACATTTCTTCTTTTCCTGAAAACAAGATTTATAATGTGAAATAATTTATAACAATAACTGATGCGTTCAACATGAGGAGTTTTAAATCTGTATATAGAAGTTAAATTTGATCAGATCCTGGATAGAATGGGAGAACAATAGGGATACAATAGAAAGCAATACTCAAAATCATAAAAAAAGAGAAAGACCAGGTTTACTGCTCTGATAGAGCCTGGTGAGACCCCTGAGACTATGGCCCCTAGTTACTCTTTGGGTCTGGAACTGAACTCACTCCTGTGGCTTCCAGCCAAACAACAGACAGGTATATGGGGTAAACATTTACAGAACAGAAGAGTAGTGTTTGCACAGGAAGATAGCTGGGGGGCAAGAGTGCATGGGAGCAAAGGACACAAGGGCAGAGGTAACTATGGGGAGGAAGTGAGAAGAGAGCAGCTACACTGTGGGGAATCGCAGTCAACATGAAATAAAATGTGTATGAACTGCTGTGTGGACAATGAAATTGCTCTGTAAACGTTCACCCAAATCACAATAAAAATTGGGGGAAAAAAGGTGGTTTTGTTTCTTTTTTTAACCTGTTTGAATCTGGGGTCTCTTCTCCCCTATTACAATACTATAAACAATGAACTGTACACTTTAAATGAGTGAGCTGTATAGTATGTGAATCACATTTCAATAAAGCTATTTTTAAAAGGTGAGTTCAGAATTTTAATGAAAAGTAGAAAATGCAATATAGAATAGAGGGAGAAGATCTTTACTATCTTTCCTTGAGCTGTAAAAGACGAGTGGGAGTGTTAAATGCTGACTTACAGAAAGATACAGAAGACAAAGAAGTTGCAAACAGTCAAGAGATGAGGACAGGAATCCAGTTCAGCAAATACCACAACCTCTCCTACCCACAGGCTATCCCACGGTTCTTCTCCAGCCTGTCCCTCAGGCAGTTTTTAACTTCCTTCTGCCCTTCCACCACTTCACCTCAACTCCACCTCACTGCTTCCTCACAGCTCTCTGCAGGACAGCCCTGGCAATTTCAATTACGCAAAATGAAGCTAACGCTACTATTGTCACAGGTATAAGGAGCTCTGGTGATGCAGTGGTTAAGGCATTTGGCTACTAACTAAAAGGACAGTGGTTGGAACCCACCAGCTGCTCCATGGAAGAAAGATGGGGCAGTCTGTTTCCGTAAAGATTTACATCCTTGGAAACCTAATGGGAGCTACTGTGAGTCAGAACTGACTTGACGGCAATGAGTTTGGTTTGGTTTTGATCACAGGTATGCACTGCTTCCCTCCAGTACGCTTACATCCCCTAGAACAACATCCGACCACATATACACGCCTGCGGTCTCATAAAGTTTTATTGCTTGTTTGGTTTTCAAAGGGAAAACAGCTGTCCTTTTGTTTATTATTTCCCCTAAATGGTTTTAAAGTCCTCAAACCCAGACTCCTGCAGCAATGGATATAGATATGGGTGGGATATAGGCAGGTGAGGCAGGACATGGCTCTTGGCGGGGGCTCTCAGGCTTTGTCCAGAGGGCAAGCAGCAGTGGTGGCACAGGGCTGTTCCCGCTCCTCAGGTGGGTGGAACAGGGGGCAGGGCACATTCCAGTCCCTCCCCACTCACTTCCTCTGGCTAAAGCTGATATCCCACCTCCACCAGTTCCTCCCCTGACCCACCAGGCATCAGCGGGAGCCCAGCTGGAGCGGGAGCCCAGCTGGAGCCGTCAGTCAGTCGTCAGTCGGAGCTGCCTCATAGCGACCTGTCCTTGGGTTTCCCAGGCAGTAACTCTAGAAGGAGCTCTGGTGGCGTACTGCCTAAGGCATTTGACTGCTAACAAGAAGGCTGGTGGTTCAAATCCACCAGCCACTCCTTGGAAAGAAGGTTGAGCAATCTACTTCTACAGAGATACTGCCTTGGAAACCCAAGGAGGGGTTGCTATGAGTCGGATGTGACTCAACAGCAGTGGGTTTTTGGGATCACTACGGAAGTAGATTCCCCAACCTTCCTTCCGAGACGTGGCTGGTGGGTTTGAACCACCAGCCGTCTGATTAACAGTTACATCTCTAGCCTCTGCTAAGAGCTCCAACAGTGGAAGCAGCCAGCAGCCACGAGGACAACTGGAAGCAGGCTCCCACAAGGTTGGAATATGGTATTCCCATAACATCCAAATCACGTAATAGCTTATTTCACAGAACTTGTCATGGATGTCAAGTGACGTATACCTGTACTCCCAAACTTGCATGCCCACATCGTCCAGATATACCTTCTAGAAATAATAATAACCATAATAACAGCAACAGCTAATGTGGTCAAATAATCAAGTCGGAGACCATCCATTTTTTTATCCCACCTAGCCCTCCTGAGAAGCAGCCCCCAATGGTGCAGTGGCTAAACACTCAGCTGCTAGCTCACTGAGGGGTCAGCAGTTTGAACCCACCAGTTACCCTGTGGGGAGGGAGAGGAAGATGTGGCGGGCTGCTTCTATAAAGATTTAGGGCCTTGGAAACCCTATGAGGCAGTTCTACTCTGTCCTACAGGGTCATTAGGAGTCAGAGTAGACTCGAGGGCAATGAGTCAACTGCTTGTGGAGAACACACAGCCTTTGTTTTACACTTTTATTTCCCCTTGGAACAGAGCTCATAGCTTCTCTCTGTTTCAAAAGTGGAACCAAAGAAAACTCTCCACCTACGCCTTTGTTAGGAGGGACAGTGGGGCAGGAGGGAGGAGGCAGCTGGTGCTGTGATTCACAGAAAGGGCTAGTCGGACCAGGGAATGTGGGAGGGAGAACTGGACCACTGCGGGACACACAACTGTTTGAGTAAGTGGCACCAGCCTGGCCCTGTTCCCTTACCGATCCCCCGATGGGGCAGGACCTTTGCGGTGTATAAGGTGAGAAGAGGGGACCTGCTACCATCATCACCAAGAACCACAGCCTCAAGAAAAGTGGCAAAGCTCCCTGTGACTGCACTTCTCTAAAGTACAGAACAGGGGGGCAAGTCATCGGCCTGAAAGACTCCAGCCTCTGCCCGACCGCCTGTTCATCCCAAACAAAATTATAAGTTTGGTCTCCCTACAACACTGCTCTCAGTATTTATGGCTCTCTACTTAATGAAAGATGGACTCTTAACACTGGCATTCAGTGCCCTCAGTGACTCAGTTATGATCCTGTTCCAATACAGAATCTTCAACAGTTACTCCATCCCTTTGGCCCATGCTTTTCTCTGGACTCCTGTAATATGTACTTGTCATCCAGTTCTAGTCATAAACTACCTCATACGCCTATTTACCTACATGCTCTGTCTCCTCCAAACACACCACAAGTGTCTTGAAGGCAAGGACTCTACCGTAAGACTCTTTGGACGTCTGATTTTTGACACTGTGATCAATTAATGCTTCTTGAGATAAGAGGGATAACCTAGAACACACAGAATTAATTGCATATCAACTGCATACTAAACTCTGTCCTAGGTCCTAGAATTGTAAAATGAAAAAATTCAAGAAATTATTGAATTATCCAACAAGTATTTATCAAGGAGGGGTCGCTATGAGTCGGGTCCGACTCGATGGCACATAACAACAACAATGGTACATTCAGAAGTTTATTTTTATATGCCCTTCAGAAACCAAAGGGAAGATCCAATAAATGCCAAAGAAATTGAACTTTCACACTAAAGTCTGAATCTATTTGTACATTTAAAATGCAAAACTGCATTTCATTTTAAATTAAAAAAAAAAAAAAACGACAACAACCAGGATTGAATAACTGCACCTACTTCAATTAACTAGAGAGAAAGATCTGAGGAAGACACACTGTATAAATAATTACCATTACAGATCACAAAATAAAACTCCATGCATATCAAGCCACCTGTGCAAAAGTTAGCCCTGGATTAGAACTTCAGTTCTAAAGCCCTGGGGGTTGTGGAGGGCGGTGGTCTACAGTTGTTGTTGTTTTTGTTATGTGCCGTCGAGTCGGCCCCCCTCTTTGGGTTTCCAAGGCAGTATCACTACGGAAGTAGATTGCCCAATCTTCCTTCCGAGAAGTGACTGGTGGGTTTGAACCGCCAGCCTTCTAGTTAGCAGTCACGTGCCTTAGGCACTATGCTACCAGAGCTCCCATGGTCTACACTGGGAGCCCTAAATCCATTTTGAGGCTTGACATGAGTTTCAGATGCCATTTGTATTCTTTCTAACCATTAAACCAGCACTGTGGCTATTCCCAGACAAGTTCCAGGACAAACCTAGGAAGGGGCAGTTTGCCTTCAGGAAGAGTATGGTTGAAAGTAGATTACACCTTACAAAGAACTGGGGAACTTGCCTGAGTGTGCCCTTATCTAATTTAAGATTGGGGCCCTGGTACTATTTTGCAGCACCTTGTGGCTGTGATCAGGTCTCATGGTCATGAGTCAGATCCGGACTGCCACCACAGACCAATCCTGGAACCCTTTTCTATCTTCCATTCCCAATCTTGGTCTTTTCCCTTTTTCTGTAGTCCTGCCTGCAACACTGACGATTCGGAACAGATCCGCCACCAATCATGATTTTGTGATGATTCCCTGGGTTTTTTCCAACAATATATAATTAGCTTTTGGCCATGACTCAATGAACTCCACTCAGCTCTGTGTACTGTGCACATGCTGATGGGTTTCCCTCATCCTGGATGACTGTCCTTGTTTGTCTTTGTCTTGTCCAAGGCTTAATAAAAGTGTCTCTGTTCCACCTGTTTGATTCTGGGGTCTCTTTTCCCTTACTATAGTACTTAAACCAAAAAACTCACTGCCATCGAGTCAGTTC